ATAAGGTCGTCGAGTATGGTGGAGGCTACAATGAATCGAAAGATAAGACTGCTGAGTACGGTGGGGGCTACGGTGAATCGAAAGATAAGGCTGCTGAGTACGGTAGTGGTTACGGTGAATCACTTGACAAGGCCGCCAAGTACGGTGGTGGCTACGGTGAGTCGGAAGATAAGACTACTAAGTATGACGATTGCACCAATGAGTCAAATGATAAAGTTTCCAAGTACGATGGTGGCTATGATGAGTCCGAAAGTGGTTACAAGAAGGGATATGGGGAAGCAAATGAAGAGGAGAATCCCGCGGATGAGGACTACAAAAAGGAAGAAAAACAACACAAGCATCTAGAGCATCTCGATGAGTTCGGAGCTACCGCTGCTGGTGCCTTTGGCTTGGTAAGATTTACATATATAATATATATTTTTCATCTCATGCAAACCATCAATATTCAATAGTTATTTCTCAAAACTAATTGGAATGAATGAAAGAGGCAGTCTATTTATATATATTATAAACTCTTGGTAGGCCAGTCCAATCTTTTTAACGTGTGATCCTTAAACAAACTCTCTCAATCTTTCTTTCTTAATAAAAGAAAAATTTTGGAACAAAATTTAAATAGAAGTACCAGTGCAATTTAAAAAATAGTCGTATAATTTTCTTAATATCATGTTTTTAATAATAATTCTTTTTCTAAGTACCACAAATACGAAGGATGGAGTATTTCCAACTTCTGAAAAAGTAGATGCTTTTATTGTTGAACTATACTCATGTTGTTATAATAAGAAAAAATTCATCTGAAAAGATAATTTTAATCTTTTTTTTTTCTTTTTGTATTTCTAGATTTAATGCTAAATTTAGTTGGTGTTTCGTAGTATACTAATTTAATTAATAAGTAATGACTTGACAGAAGCGAATGTGGGTCCAAAACTTATTACAACTAAAATCATAAGTTCAAGGAAACGGTCTAAACTTTCTAATATTTGTGGGATTAAATAGGTATGATTATCATAAATGTATAATTTAACCTTTCAATTACTACTTTTGATCCTCTATGTTTTGTAGAAAAATGCTATTTGCTACTAAATTTCCATATTAAAAAAAAAACCTATTTTAAGCCATATGCATTAATAAGTTAGGTTTCATATTAAAAAATAGGCCAATAAAATACCTTACAAAAGTAAAATGACCAAATTACCCATAACGAGTAGTTACCATGTTTTTAGACCAAACATTTGAAACCATATAAAAACTAAGAAAAAAAAGTGAAATTTCATATACCAAAATAAAATTTGAACCCGAGTAAAAATAGTTATCTAATTTCAAAATTTATATAATTCACGTCAGAAATAAGAAATTTGATTTATTATATTATATTAATTTGTTAAGAAATCAAGAAACTTTTTTCTCCCTCTGCTCAGCATGAGAAGCACGAGGCAGAGGACTCAGAAGATGGGCACAGGCACAAGTTAGGGGAGGAGATCGCGGCGGCGACCGCGGTGGGAGCCGGTGGCTTTGCATTTCACGAGCACCGTGAGAAGGAAGAGGCCGAAGAGGCTCGTGAAAAGAAGCACCACCATATATTCTAAACCTCCTTTCTCAACGATATCTCTTCTTTCATCTCTCTTTTATGTTTAATTTCTGGTGAAATATCGACCATTTTAAAATCTAAAAATAAAAGTGTTTTAGAACTCAAAAAATGTCGCGTAAAGAAAAAAAAAACGTATTTGACCAAAGTCGTACTTTTAAATAAGTAATATTTAAAATACATGTATTTTTTTTAATACCTAAGTTTTAAAACCTACCATATTTTTCCTTTAAATCCTTGTCTTATATATATATATATTGTACAACGTGTGTGATATTGTGAGTGTTTTTTCTTTTGAGTCTGTTTTGTGCTTTACATATTTGTTACAGTATTTGTTTTTAACATTTAATAAATGGGTGGAATTGTAATATGCTAGTTATGTAATAAAATTTAACTTATTTTCTTTTTTATTTTTATGAAATAAATATTGTTTACGTATATATATCCTTTATCTAAAACGTTGTTGTGTAATAATTAATCTAAGCCTCTGAAAAACTTGAAAATAGACGAAAGTCGAATAGTGAAATCATTATTTTTATTGATATCAACTGAGTTTGTTATCATATACACTACGTATTAAGCTTATCTTATTTTATAATAAAAGGATTAAAATGAATTTATAAGCGTATGTTTTAAATGTATATTAAATTTTTGTATATTAAAAATGATGGATTTATTCTATTAAAATTTAATATATTTTCTTTTTTTATGTTAATATATTATGTTCATAAATAATTGTTTACGTACATATATATATACACTTTATCTAAAATGTCGTCGTGTAATTATTAGTCTAAGCCTTGGAACAATTTGAAAACAGAAGAAAATTGAATAGTGAAATGATTAATTTTATTGATATCAATAGAGTTTGTTATCAAATACACTAGGCGCTATATTTTTTTAAGCTTATTTTATTTTATAATATAAGAATTAAAATGAACTTGTTGAGGTGGAATTATGGCCTATCAAAATTACCAAATTTGCAACAGTTTTCTAGAATAAAAGGGATCGACAAAACTTACAAAATAAAAAAATTACACACTAGTATGGTGCTAATCATGCACACTCCGATACTTAAGTAAGAAACGAAGTTTTATGTGAAACTTAGTAAATAGTAGAGTTTTTGTGTCACCAAGGGATGGTTTGAGTGGCTTTGGACTTGAAGGATTATTCTCGAGACCTTGGGTTCAAGCTACAAGAAACGCAAGTATTCTAAACAAACATCAGATATTGACCACATTAGAGAGGGTAATACCTCCATAAACATCTCTAAAGGTAAAAAATAAGCTAAGTTCAAAACCTCAACATTTTATTTCAACCAAAAGTTTACAGGTTAGAGTCCCAATTATCTTCAACCACTTTCCAAAAAAGGTAAATTGATCAATCTTAATATAAATTTGCTGATATAGAAAAAACAATTTTGGCATGGTTATCCCTTAAAACAGTAATACAAAAATTACCTAAAAACGTGACCATAGGATTACCTTAACGCTCAAGTTATCTAGACTCCAAATCACCATAAAACAAATAAACAACCAAACAAAAATCAAAGACCCAAAAGTAAAAAGATTCACTCAAACAAATTACTAAATAAGAACGAATCTGGTGCTGTTGGAAACGAAGTAGTCCCTCACAACACAATTCAAGAGACAAGAGAAGAAGGTTGTTCTCTTACTCACACTAAATTGAAGAAACAAGAACTTGTATTTTGAAAGTGACTTTGCTTTCCTTAGATTGATTACAAATGACAAATCCTATACATATTTATACTAGTAGGAAAATAAACCAAAAGACACTAATAGTAAATATCAGTACATGTGACCCTTCACTAATACATGGACATCAATCAATGTATCTAGTGATTCATGTATGTAATTTATTGCTAATTCATGTATTTGCAATATGTCTAGATTGATTTTAAGATTTTGTTAAGGATAACGATACCCCAAGTACCCCAAGTATCTCCACAATAGTATGATATTGTCCGTTTTGGACATAGCCAGCCCTCACGGTTTTGCTTTTGGTTCCACCCAAAAGGCTTCATACCAATGGAGATAATTGTCCTCTCTTATATATCCATGATCATTCCCTTCCCTTGCCAATGAGGAACTTTGTTTGCAATCAACCTTACAAGCTCAAGAATCCTCCCTTCGAACAAAGTACCACCAAGCCTCCCTCAAGTAGTCACTCATCCGTCTACTTCTACTCTCGGACATGAACGAGAGCTTGCTCTTATCCAAGGCTCCAGGCACACCTTGATAGAGCACACCCATGGATTACACCATGACCACACCTTCCGAGGCTCACCACTTCTTTGTTTGGTACTCGAGGATTCACCGATACAGCTAGGTTTAGACCATGACTCTGATGCCACTTGTTAAGGACAATGGTACCCCAAGTACCCCGAGTATCTCCATCTGCTATCTAGGTTGATAGATCATTCGATGACACAGTAAATAAGATAGAATTGAATCGTGCGATAATGGGAAACCCTAAACAAAAATACTCTCTACTTGGTCAAACTTAAATTTACGTTTAGGGGCAACAATGAATGCACACACGACACATCGATGCTTTTGCAAGTGAAAGTTTCACATCTCACTCTTCTCCTTCTTCTTTTTCTTCCTCGTGGGCTCAATCAAAAATCATTTGCTTGCCGATCTTTATAATAGTAAGAGAGAACAGAAGTCATCGAGGAGTCCCAGAGGGAAAAATCTAGAATCAATAAAATATCTTCTCCTCAATCTAGGGAAAATCTTAAGGCATTAGAATATCTTATCCTTTTGAATATATTATATCTTCTAGGGAAAATCCTAATGCCATCTAAATATCTTCTCATTTTGAATATATGATATCTTCTTACAAATCTAGGGAAAATCCTAAAGCCATCTGGATATCTTCTCCTTTTGGATTCCTCAGATAAAGGAAATTTAAATGGTATAAAATTGAGATTTTTCCAGTCCATAACATTAGTCTTTACCCTCAGAGTTGAAGATAATGAGTTAGTCGAAATGCTAGACTTCTGCTTTGAAAGTATTTATCGTAAATCCATTGTCGATCATTTAATGTCATTCTTAGATGATCATCCTTGGTAAGTCATTCTTGGTTTGCCATTCGTTACCGACTTTTCTTAGTCGGCCATCCTTTATCGATCATTCTTGGTCGTTTATTTTTTGGTTTGCAATCATTGGTCCATCATTATTGGTGCACCATTCTTGGTCCATCATTCCTAGTTCGTCATCTATTATTGATTTGTTGTTGGCTTTGTGGCTCGTAGATATTGATCGATCTTCTAACTTGTTAATCTTGATGTACTTTACCTCTAATAATAACCCTCATTCTTTTGATGAGATTTTGCTGAGCTACAGGTCATCATGTGTCAGCCAATATCTATATCGAGAGAAGTAAGAATTTCGTGCTTCTAGTTTTGAATTTATGTGACATTCCTTTTAATGTGATTTTTCAAAGCTTGTTAACCATTGGAGTTGATGCTCCGTTTTATCCAACATTTTGGTAGATGTTTAATGGTGATTTTCTCTAATATCTTAGTTTCATTTTGTGAAAGTAATGCTGACGAAGAAATTCATATGCTTTAGATTCACGATGTAAGAGACCATCACTATCCCTGGGAAGAGATGATAATATTTAGGCTTACCACTATCCTCCTAAGGTATGACTGGGGAGTAAGTTTGTTTGTTGCTCTTCTTCTTTGAGGAATATCAATAGGTTTATTAATCTTGTTTATCATAATAATGAGCAAGAACTCAATGTTATGTTGTTTTCACTGTCTATGTCGAATTTTTTTTGCCTCTCTCCTATCACCTTTAGAATTATCTTCAAACAATTTGTTTTTCTCTTTAATAGGAATACCAAATGACTAAGTTGACTTTTTAACATGTTTATCTGTTGAATAGTTGAAGAGTTGAATATTTCTTCTATCTGATGATAAATCTAAATGGTTGCTCTGATAGGCTCTCTAGGTGGTTGCCTGGTCTATGAGCTACTCGACCTAAAGAATTTTCAAAAGATCAAGTTCTTATTAGATTTAATTGGTCAACTTGATATACAGGAGTCTAAACATGAGGGTTTCAACTGCCTGGGCTTCTTTGCATGCCTTTAGTTTTAATACCTAGGTTTTGTCGATCTGTTAGACTTTATTTGCCTAATTTTGGCATTCATAATTTTCGTTCACTAACTGGCTTGACTTATTTGCCCACTTACTAATTAAGTCTGTTAGGCTTATTAATTAACTAGTTTGGCTTATTAGTCTGCTTTTAGTTTTACTATCCTTGGACTTCAATCGATTGGGCTCGTTCGCTTGCCCTTTTCACACCTTTGGACTTTGACCATTTAGGCTTTTTTGTCACTGGTCTTCTATACCCCTAGTTTCATTGACTGACTTATCTTGTTTGCCTGCTTTTAGTTTAAATTGGTTGGGCTGGTTTGCTTGCCTTTTTCAGCATCTTTTGGCTTTGACCATTTGGGCTCATTTGCCATTGATCTTATATACCCTTGGTTACACTTACTGACTTAACTTCTTTGCCTGCTTTCAGTTTTATACCCTGTCAAATTTCTTGATTACCTTTGCTAAAGTGTTGTTACTTATCTGACCCCCACTTGAGGAAGTTTTTAGAGTATCAAATGAAAAATTTACCCAAGTATGCAATTTGGAAAACAATTTATTCTCATTAAACGAAACTATCATAAAATATTATTTAGCCGAAAAAATATCATGCTTAAACGAAAATTATGAGAAATATATGACATGTTCAAGTTTTAATTTTGCCGTTTGAGTACATCACCTCAACGTTATAATTTGTCACTCTATTTTATTTCCAATTTGTTAGGATTCGATTGGTTAAGATTCGGCTACATCTTTGATAATCCAAACATTATTCATTTTATATGATTACAAATTTGATGTTGAAAGGGAATGCATATCACACATTTGGGTTTAGTTGAGCATGGGCCTACACCAACTGGCGCTAGAACCCTGCTTTTTGTGGATTGCAAAAAGAAAAAAATATCAACATTCTACAGATCTGGGTCATTCCTGTCCACTAATTGTGCTACCAATTCTTATATGTGCAAGTATACACAATCGTCACATCAAGAAATAAAAGCTCGAATCCACAGAGACTAAATGCTTAAACACTCAATATCCACTCAAGAAAGCAATGCAATAAGCTAAGGGGTTTTCTTCCACTAATAGCTAAAAAGTACTGAAATAAAAACCTTTTATATAATTATTTTAAATCAATCACAAGTAATGAGTTTGCTAGAGTTACCACACATCCACAATCGCTATATAAGGTCTTATGAAAATAAAGGCGCAAGGAGGAGAGGAAGTCGACTCTTCTGGGCCACCCTAACTTTGCTGCAACAATAATGGGGTGAATGCAGTGGTCAAACAGACAAGAT